AAAAGGTGTGAGAGGAGGAAGAAGATGGACAGGAATATGTGACATAACATAATCAAGTCAAAAGTTGAAAATGATGACAAGATAACTCCATTCTATTAGGAAGAAAAAAGCCTATAGGAGAATTGGTGAGGAAGCAAAGAGAGGGATTAAAACGGGGAGAAAGAAAGGGGAGAATCTTGGTTCAGTAGTGGGGAGGGGTATGACTGATGAACACTACCATGGGGAGAGAAATGTTCTATAAAGGGACATGGGGACCTCATAACAGGTTTAATCTACAGGGATTTGCTACTTAGAGAAACCATTCATTCTTGGGGATCAGAGCTTCTGGAGGACAGCAGTGGCCTTTCTCAATCCTCATCTTTCCTGACTCTGCTGCCTTTGACATTATTGATCACTTTCTTTTCTTTGATACTCTCCTCTTTCTAGGTTTTTGTGACGTTACTCTCTCTTGGTTCTCTTCTCTACCTAACCTCTCCTTTGTTGAATCTTTATCCAAGTCCTGCCTGCTAACCATGGAGATCTTTCAAGATGCTGTCCTAGGCCCTTTTTTCTTCTTTCTCTATACCATTTCTCATCAGCTCCCATGGATTCAGTTATTTCTATGCTGATGATTTTCAACTCCACCTATTTAACCTTTCTGCTGACTTCCAGTTCCTTTTTGCTAACTGCCAGTTAGATATCTTGAACTGCATGTCCACTAGACATTTTAAACTCAACATGTCCAAAACTGAATTATCTTTCCCCCTACACTTTCCCCTCTTCCTAACTTCCTTATTACTGCTAAGGATACCATCAACCTCCCACTCACCAGTGCTCAAAACCTAGATGCCAATCTTGACTCCTCTCTCACACCACCCTGCCATATCCAATGTTGCCAAGTCCTGCCAATTTTAGCTCATACCATCTTTTGAATATGCCCCTCTCTCTCCTCTGAAATTGCTACCACCCTTCAGCAGCTCTTATCACCTCATGCCTACACTATTGCAATAGTCTGCTGGTTAGTTTTTCCCCACTTCAGTCTGTCTTTTCACTCAGTTGCCAAAGTAGTATTCCTGAAGTGCAGGTCTGGTCATATCACTTTCCCTTCCTTTACTCAATAAACTTCTGTGGCTCCATATAATCTTCAGGATTAAAAACAAAATCCTCTTTCTGACATTTAAAGCTCTTTATAATATGTCCTTGTACCAGTTGCATACTTTGTACCACTTTATACAACTTTGTCTTCCCTTTTTGTTGTAAGAGATGACTCTTGGGTAAGGAAGAGAGCAGAATACATTGGGAAATGAAGGTATTGTAAAAACAAAAGATATCAGTAAAAAAATTTTTTTTAAATAAAAAGGTTAATCTTCCTTAAGCATAGATCTGCTTCAGTTCTTCATGTCTTCTAATGGCTCTGTACTATACTTAAACAAAAAAGTTTCAACACCTATGCTTGGCATTCAAAAAGTCCCACAAAGTAGTGACTTCTTACCTTTCTGGGCTTACTTCTCACAAATTAAACTGGACTACTCAAGATCCCCTGTGTGCACCCCAAGCATTTTCTACCTCTGTCTTTTTGCTTATCTATAAAGTGAGGGAGTTGAATTAAACATCCTTCTAACTCTTAATTCAATGACAGTATGCTCTCCAATTACTGAAATTCTACCCATCATTTAAAAGACCAGCTCAAACACCACCTTCTTCATGTAACCCCTCTGATCACATCCTGCTCTACCCGACACCCTATCATATAAAGACTTCCCCTTAATTAAACCTCACATAGTACTTTGTCTGCACTTATCACCATTTTGTTTTAAAGTTGTATATATTTTCTCCACTAGGTTATAAGCTGCATGAAGAGAATTGTTTTAGCTAATTTGCCTAACCTGGCATAATGTTCTGCACATATTAGACATCTAATATTTGTTGACTATTGTTGAATACAGCCAGGTATAGATACATTGAAGCATATTCCTTTTCTTTTGCTGGATTTCGTGGAAATTAGTTATTACTTTCAAGTATTTTCCATGTGAACTTGATTTTCTTTTCTTTCTTTTTTTGGGGGGCTAGGCTATGGGATTAAGTGACTTGCCCAGGGTCACACAGCTAGTAAGTGTGCCACATTTGAACTCAGGTCCTCCTGACTACAGGACTGTTGCTTTATTCACTGCACTATCTAGCGCATTTTCATATCAATCATTAATAAGTGGGCATAAGCACTAAGCCAGTGACAAGATCTAAGTTAAATCAAATGAGGTTAATTAGACTTACATTAGGGAATGTAGTAGTGATATAAAACACCTCATGCCTTTTGGTACTTTTTAGCTAATAAAATGTCTTATCAGCTTTGAGAATTTCCTTTTGTGAAGGCCATAAGTATTAGGTATTATTTTTTCATGTATTATGTTTTAAAACATTACCAAAGCAGGCATTCTTCAGCTTTCTAGCCAGAAGTTTTAATATTAAGCCTTAGATGTTGGAGCAGCAGTTTTTAACCTTTTTTGTGTTATAGACTTCTTAGGCAATCTGGTGAAGTGAATAGACCTCTTCTCAGAAAATGTTTTAAAATTCATAAAATGAAACACATAGGATTACCAAAGAAACCATTTATGTTGAAATATTACAAAACAAGTTTGTGGACCCCAGGTTAACTCTTGATTTAGAGCTTCTAGCCTTGGTTAACTTCGGGAGTAGGTATTTTTAAGTTTGATCACATTGTCTGAAACAAGGAAAACAGCGGACAAAGAATGAAATCTGGCAGCAGTCAAAAAGCACCTCATTGTAGTGTAATATGATCAAGGTTGGAAATTAAAGGGAAAAATAGGGGATAGAGGAGAGTTTCTTAAGTCTTAAAGGACAAGAAAAAAGTGGAATGTTAGCAGGTTTCATCTTGTCCATTAAATCAGTGGATATCAATAGGTCATTCATCCTGTTCATGAAGGTCAAAGTAATTCTATGTACTAGTGACTCGACTTTCTGAGAATGCAACTCATGTTTATGCATTTTTATTTAGCAAATGGTATGCCTGTTTTATCTAAAACCAAACTTTATCAGGGCTAGTAAAAGTTGGGTCATCTATAACTTTACTGACACTTGTATAATAGATGACTAGGATGAACTGCAAGGTAATGAAATCATTTTAGATTTAATTCTAGGCAGTATGGTTTGTGTTGTTGGTACCCTAAGCCTTTAAAAATCTAAATAGGGAATTTTGTTTCAAAATTAGAAGCACCATTCCCCAAAGAAATGTTAAATGGGGTTGGGTACCACAAACCCATAAGCATATTTTAATGTTTAATTTATTAAAGTCCCACTAAATACAAAGCATGATATTATAACTCCATAATAAAACTATAAATTAAGTGTTTATTTCAAAATAAAATTTTTAAAGTAACTAAAATTGTATTCCTCAGTGTTACTTAAGTATAAAAATATATGAATCTAAAAAGGTTAGGAACCATAACAAGGATTATGAGAAGAATGTGAGATTGAGGGTGTGTCAATGTTATAGATGGAAACAAAGAAAATTTATAAATGGTCTCTTGTCCTTATGGAGCTCATAGCTTGTGCAAAAAAGGGAAAGAGGAGGGAGATACAACATCTGTTGTATAACTCTATGACAGAGAAGAGAAATAGTAAGTGATATGGGATGTCTAAAGAATTAAAGAATTTCTGGCTGCTGAGGAGAGAATCAGAGTAGACTTCATAGAAGCAAGTATTAGAGATGGGCCTTAAAGGATATTTTTCAATAGACAACAGATGTGTCTTTCAATTGGTCAGGACTGGGAATCAGGTAAGAGAATCTGGTGAGGAAACCAGTTAGGAGCTACTGCTCCGGCAGGTGATAATAAAAGTCTTTACCTACATGGTGGAATTAAAGAAAGGAGTTGATAAAACCAAGGAAAACTGCAGAAGTGAAATGAACAAATCAAGTGCCAAGGATAGCCAATTTATAATGCAGCCTAAATACACATCTTACCAAGAGTAGCAGAGAATCTCAACACAATTTATAACAATGTTTCTAGGAAAAATGCATTTCAATTTGGGAATGGATGAAACAATTGAATTTGGCTGGTTGCAACCCTATGAGTGGAGAAGAGATTTCTCTTTCAAGTTAAGAACATCACTTCCCTCAGTTTGGGGTACAGATGGTTGGAAGATATACAGTGAAAAAGTGAGTGTGGGGAACATAAGCTGTTTAGGAAAGGAGTTCCTTTTTATCTCACAAATGGGTAAGAAATTAAAGTTGAAGACTGGGCACCAATATTTGTTGTGATTATAATGTAATAAAACTTCATAGTTTCTGGTTTAAATGTCATTTTAGAAAATTAAACATGTTCCAGATTAGGGGTTTTTTAACTCAGGGTACATGGACCCTAAAAGATTAGGAGACTGATTTGGGGAGGGGACTGTAAAGTTGGATAGGGGAAAAACTACATCTTTGTAGTGACTAACTTCTAAATTGAAATCTATTATTTCCTTCAATTATTCTGCAAAGGAACTGATATACTACATCAGACTGCTAAGGGAGTCTGTAACAGAAAAAAAGATTAAGAATCCCCATTCTAGATAGTTACACAGCAATATAATTAAGGGATCATTAAGAATTCTATCATGACAGCTCTTGAATATTTTCCATATTGTAATAGTAGTCAAAATATTAAATAACAATGAATAACAAGAACTCAAACGCCACTACTTTGAAAGGGAGACTTTCTATTAATATGGGTTCAAAGCTATATAGATATGTATTGATGTCCTCCTTTATTCATGTTAACACTAACTTAAGATACATACTCTTGAGTATGCAACTTGGTTTAGAAAATTCAGTCTTCACTATACCTTAAATCAGTGAGGAATCTCCTTGTATTATCCTTCTCTCTTTATTCATTGCATTTTATAAAACACAACAACAACAAAATCCATGGACTCAAGAGAATGTGTATCACTCCACTTCCCCTAAGGGCAATTCAGCTTTTAATTTCACCCCAATGAATAGTGTACTGCAGAAAAGAAACAAAGACTTTTTTCAACCATATTTACTAGATCACATAAATATTTGCAAACAAATAAATCTCTCTTCCCTTTCGGTATCCTTGGCACAATTTATTAAGTTCTATTGTAAACATTCATGGATGAAAAAAACGAAATTTTATATATGGTACACAGGTCAATAAATAGCTAAACAGGAGCAAATACTAAAAGTGTTGTAGACTCTTTTTACATTTAGACTGAGCCACTGATTTCAACTTCGTCAAAATAAATTTCACCTACAAAACAATGCATTTTAAAACTTGATTCTGATTCAAGTTTTTAAAAACTAGTTGCATTTTTACATTAAAAAGCTGCAAACTCTAAATAACAAATTAAACATTTAGACATACTTTGACACATTATCAAAAGTTCTTCTAGCCTGCAAAGGATTGGATATCTATTTAAGTTAATTACAAGGTCCAGAATTCCATTTCCTTTAAATAATTTTCAATTACTCTTCCGTATGGCATGGAAATCTTGATGATCTTCTAATGAGTATTAGTATAAAGTCTGTTCTTGATAAAAACAACACTAGACAGATGTTGTCTGATGCCTGGATAATGCTGAATGTGAGAAAACCAGCGAGACATATTCATATATTTCTCCTTTTCTTGAAATGTAAGGTCAACCTAAAACCAAATAGATATTACATAAGCTCAGTTAATTTTAGAATAGGAGATAGAAAGTTGCAAAGACCAGTTCCCTGAGGCCACCACTGAGATAAAAGTTAACGTTCCAACCTCTACTGGGCAGAGGTCTGCATGGGCTTTCTTTTTCTTGTTCAGTTCAAAGTCAATGTTTGATGCAAGGAGGCTCATCAACTGCCAGCTCGAAGCAAAGCCATGTCCTGAGAAGATGTAGAAGCTCTAAGAGCTTTTGGAAGAGGTGAGATTCCTGGGGAAAAGGGAGCTTACTTCTCAGGCTAGAAGACTGATTTCCCAAAGTGTTTCTGGCAAACTTAATATAAGCATATTAAACTCCAAAAATATTACCTAACAAAAGAGTAGAATACAATAATCCAGAGAGAAATGTTCACGTCTATTAAAGTCAAAAGTTTGCCATAGTACTCAACTCATAAGAAACTGCTGTTGGAACCAGTTGTTATGTCAAATGAACGATGCTAAATGAGAGGAGAACAAACTATTTCTAGCAGTGAAAAACTCAAATTAAAGTACAATTGAGGGGCAGCTAGGTGGCGCAGTGGATAAGCACCAGCCCTGAACTCAGAAGGACCTGAGTTCAAATCCGGCCTCAGACAATAACACTTACTAGCTGTGTGACGCTGGGCAAGTCACTTAACCCCATTGCCTAGCCAGAAAAAAAATAAATAAATAAAGTACAATTAAATACATGTTATCAAACAGGACAAGAGTATTGCAGTTTTTTCTCCTTTTCCAAATAAGATGGCAAGGACTGGAAGAATTCACAACATTTTTCTTTGTATCTCCAGGACCTAACAAAGTGTAACCCAGAAGGCAATTAACGTTTGAATTGAAAAATGCCTCTGAATCTGATTTAAATAAACTCATGCAATAAAAAGTGGGATGGGGGTGTAAATACTTGTTATTTTGAAGCAGCATGGTTAGGTAAGTATTGAGTTCAAATTCAAACAAAGGACTCTGAGGATTTTCCTTGAGAAAATGTTTGAGTTCATCTTTACGAGTTATAAGGTTGAGGGTAAAGATAGAAAGGCAATAACACACAAACCGCAGGCATGAGGAGCACAGCCAGCTTCCTCCACAGTTTAATCAACAAACATTTGATTCACTAGTGCCATATGTGGAAATATTAAATTTGGTATCCTGTCTGAAGAATCAGATAAACAAAGCCTTCTCCAAGAACAGTGTAAACATGTGCAATATAGTATGTAGCTAGTTTCACAACAAGATTGAAGCACATTTCAAAGGTCCTTTATTGGATATCAGTCTTCAGAAAACAAAATGAATTTGAGGCTCATGGAAATGAGCCTGCAGCAAAGCTACAAAAGAAGATTTCTCCACCTGTTTGTACCAACAGAATTACACATAGCGAACTACACCTGCTAAGAATGTTTTTTTATAAAATGTAATTCTCAGTAACAGTTAACTTCATGATTATATAGATATTAATTGTTATTCCTAATTCATTAGTTATAGATTATCAAGTAACAGGCTGACTTTTACTTTCCTGGTGAGTGTTACAAAATCTTTCATACCTTATAGGTCACAATAAATATCTGTTAAATATTCAAATGTGATTGTAAAATCTCTCACATATGAACTCGCTTAGGAACTGAAAAGCAGAACTATGTGAAAATTTGGAAAACTGTTCTTGATTTTTGGTTTTACAAATGCACATTTAGTAGTGAAATTGGGTTTAGAAAGGCTTAACTTCCAAAAAAGGGGGCATAAAATAAAACAGATATTGATTTCAGCAATTTAGCAGTTCTGGCAGATAGAACTATCTTTAAGTTTCAACCAAACTTGAATCTGACAATATCAGGTGTTTAAATGATTCCCCAAATTTGGCCAGTTATGTTATAATTTAGAGTTCTCTAGTGTCTTTTTGAAGAGGTTTAACATTTTTTCTAATCTCTACTCACTTTCCTATGCCTTATTTCAAATAAAATTTTCCAGTGAGGTTGATGCTCAGTGACAAATGCTATTCAGAATGTCTTCCCAAAAGATGAGTAAGAACAGACATTACAATGATTAACAAAACACTGTAAAGAAAAGTCAGTTTCCTTTTTCTTTAGCTATCCCGTAATCAAAAGTTATTCTTTGAATTGGACTTGAACCTTAAACTAAAGAGAGTTGCCAAAGTATTTTCTAAAAATTGGTTGATAAACCATACATTCAGAATGAGTCACAGGAAATGTCAGATGGCTGACCTCACTGTTGCCAGACACTTAACAAACCAAGTGGAAATAAATCTCAACACTACTGAACAAAATCAAGTAACAAGCTCTCACACCAATCAATGTATTCCAAGATAAAAATTTCATATTTTGGGTCTCAAGAGTAAAAGTTACAAACAGATCCAAAGTACAAAAAAAAATTTCAGAAAGGCTTTTGCTGCCACTTCTCTTTTGTTTCACTGGTTTGATTTACCTGCTTGTCCCATGAATCTGAGAAAAGTAAACAATGAGATGGACCATAATTTGTTCCCCCATTAATGTTTGCTACATAGACATATTAAACAGGAGGTTACTGTAAATAAGATATTTAGCTGGGTCTGATTTTAAACACATGAAAACTTAGAACTTTTTCTTAATGGGATTCCCTGAGCTACCATTTCACTTAGAACAACAGATTTATATTTTGCCTTTTTAGCAGGATTAGTTTCTAATAGTATAATCTAATCTATTGTTTTTAATTACCATTTCATCATTGTTATTCAACTACAAGCCAACATGTCTATATATGGTAACTTGACAAGCTGCTCCTAATCCTTCCATATTACTTACAACAGCACTCTGCAATTATTTTCAACTTTAAAGGCCCTAAGAGCGTAATCTTATTTACCATTTTCCCACAAATGTAAGAAAAATCTCCAAATGACCATGTTAGGATGAAATGCTAGCTTGCTTTTTATATAAGCTGGAATGGTCAATGCTACATTCTGCTATGGCTTTTATGAATAGTGCTCCTATATTCTTTTTACAGATTCTCTCTTAAAACTCTATTTCTACTTATTTCTGTTCTAAGTTCCAATCCAAATTTTAGTCAATCTTGTAATGTTATAAAGGATAGGAACTATCTTCCCACCAGCATCACCAGCTACCTGATAGAATTCCATTGCAAGAAGTTATCCTGGAGGGGCAGCTAGGTGGCGCAGTGGATAGAGCACCGGCCCTGAAGTCAGGAGTACCTGAGTTCAAATCCGGCCTCAGACCAAACATTTGACACTTACTAGCTGTGTGACCCTGGGCAAGTCACTTAACCCTAATTACCTAAAAAAAAAAAAAGAAGTTATCCTGGAAATAATTTCTTTCTTCTGACTGAAAAAGACAATCAATGTTTCATCCTAGCAAATATCTCTCTCTAAAAATATTTCTGCCTTAGTCGTATGGAATGGAAAAGGATTTGGAAGAGAAGGGAATTAAAGCCTGTAGGGAATTTCTTCAGCCTCACTGGAAGAGGACAGTAATCGGAATGATTCTACAACCTGAAGAACTTATAGTCATGGCTATAAGGTTCGGTTATTTGTCTTTTTTTTGTTTTTTTTGCAACTGGGTCTCCCTTTCTTGCTCAGGTTGGAAGTGAAGTGGCTACTCACAGGCCAGTACCACTACTGATAGGCAAGTTCTGACCAGTAGTCACTTCTGACTTAGTTCAGTTTACCCTTACTCAAGCAGCCTACTACTGGGTGATAGGAGGTGGGCCCACACTGTCTACCCACCCCGTCTGGCTCACTATATTGGTGACATCTGATTTGCTTCAGCTCACCGCAGCTCAGAAGCTCCTGAGCTCAAGGGATCCATCAGCCTCAGGGATAACAAGTGTGTACTGCTATTCGCAGCTGCAAGGACTTCTGATATCAAACTGAGCTGAAGGTGAAATTTCCCTTTCTCATCAAAATTTCCTGTCCTTCCACCTCTCCTACTCTTCTCAAATCTAAGGGTGAGGCTCATAGCCTTTGACTGCTTATCCACTGGGGAAATGGCTTTTGTTTTTGTATCCCCAACATTTGGCATGGTATACAATAGACCTCTGAGAAGTGCTCATTGATTCACTTACTTCTGTGTTTGTGTTTTTGTTTTTGTCCAGGGTCACACAGCTAGTAAGTGTTATGTGTCTGAGGCCACATTTGAACTTCGGTCCTCCTGACTCCAGGGCTGGTGCTCCATCCAACTGCCACCTCACTGCCCTGATTTACTTACTTGTTTTGTTTGGTCCTACAGGGTAGAACAAGGAAGGAGTAACAGGTAGATGCTGAAAAGAGGTAAATTTAGCCTTAAAATCAGGAAAAACTTTCTAACAATTATACTTGTCCAAAAGTGTAATGGATGACCTTCCATTCTTGGAGGTCTTCAGGAAGAGGCTAGATGACTGACTACTTGATGGACATGTTGTAGTGAATCAGTCAATACGTACCTACTAATGTGCCAACCACTGTGCTAAGTGTTGGGGACAAAGAAAGTTGAAGACAATCTCTACTCTCAAAAAACTCATAGTATAATGAAGGAGACAATTTGCAAACAATTGTGTACAAACATGCTATAATACAGGATAAATTTGAAATAATCAACAGATGACAGGCATTTGAATTAAGGGGGATCAGGAAAGGCTTTCTGTAGAAAATGAGATCTTAGCTGGGACTTGATGGAAGCTAGGAGACAGATAAAGAGGGAGAACATTCTAGGTGTGGGAAACAGACAATGAAAATACTTGGAGTCAGGAGATAACCTTTACACTACTTCTGTTCCCACCCCTCAGTCCCAAACCTCACACTACTGCCCATCCCATAACGTTTTACTGGATCAGTGACACTACATGCATTCTCATAGTTCTCCTCTTATTTCCCTAACCATTCCCTTTCCCTTTTTCTCTCTTTATTTTCATCTTCCTCTTTCCCCTTAAAGACGGGTGCCCCTAAGATTCTGTCCTGGTTCCTTCTCCCTCCCTCCAATTGCTCTGTAGATGATTATAGCAATAACCTCTTAACTCGTCCTTCTGAGTTCAGAATATTCCTTTTCACATCATTGTCCCAAGTAACATTCCCTTTTTTTTTTTAAGGCAATTGGGGTTAAGTGACTTGCGTAGGGTCACACAGCTAGTAAGTGTGTCAAGTGTTTGGTCTGAGGCCGGATTTGAACTCAGGTACTCCTGACTTCAGGGCTGGTACTCTCTCTCCACTGTGCCACCCAGCTGCCCCACCAAGTAACATTCCTAATGCACTGTTATGATAAAAAAAAAAGCCTTAGTGGCTCCCCCATTTCCGGATTCTAGCAATTCAAGACCCTTTAGAATCTGGTGCCAAACTGCCTTTCCTGAATTCCACCTTTATACTATATTTTAGAGTAAAACACACATACTCCACCTCATTTTCTTCCTTCCTACTCCTATTTCTATGACTTTGCTCAAATATCACCCATATTTAGAACTGATTCCTTTCCACATCACCACAGAGGCAGTTAGTTAGATGGTACAGTGGATAGAATGCTGGGTCTAAAGTCAAAAAGACTTGTGTTCAAATCTCACACCAGACATTTATTATCTGTGTGATCCTGGGCAAGTAACTTAACCACTACTTGCCTCTGTTTCCTCAGCTGTAAAATAGCATCTATCACATAGAGTTGTTCTGAGGATCAAATGTGATAACATTTGCAAAATGCTTAGCATAGTGCCTGGTACAAAGCAGGTGCTTAATAGAGGCCTGTTCCTTTCCTTTTCCCCACTGTAGTCACTCCCTTTCTTTAAGGATCAACTAAGGAACCATCTTTTTCATGAATCCTTTCCTGACCCACCTGTAAAAAGTGACCCTTCCCTTTTAAACATCTTACTATATGTGACCTCTCCCTAGCACTTCACATTCTCCCCTCATTATCTGTGTAAATGTTTTTGCCCCCATATGATCTTAATAACTGAAAGCAGATTATGTCAGATCTACATTTGCATTGCCAGTGCCCAACAGTACTTCAGGATAGGTATTTAATAATATTTATTAATATTATAAATAACTACACATAAATTTTAATAAATTTAATTGAAACCACGACTATCATTTGAAATATTTATTTTCTTTAGAAGTAAACAATTTAAATCATATAAGAATAGTTAGGGATTTATATAGTGCATTAATATTTGCAAAACACTTTATAAATATTACTTCATTTTATCCTTACAGTATTCCTGGGAAATAGGTGCTATTAGTATCCCCATTTTAGAGATGAGAAAACTAATGGTGAAAGAGTAACTTGCCTAGGATGACAAAACTATTAATTACCTGGGGCAGGATTTGAATTCAGGTCTTCCTGACTTCATGTCCAGCACTCTAGTCACTGAGCCACCTAAGATGTCTCAAATATAATCAAAGCTCCTAATTTGACAAATGAAGGAGCTAAGGACCAGAGAAGCTGAATGACTCATTTGTGGTCACATAACTTTTGAGCAGCAGGGCCATGCCCAGAAACCGGTTTCCTGACTCCTGGGTCAAACTATGTCTACCATACTATGCTATGACCTTTCAAAAGAAGTATTCTACTCAAGGGGAAGTAGGATAGGAATGAGAGTTAGAGAAATCAAGGATTGATTCTTGGGCAGCTAGGTGGCTCAGTGGATAAAGCATTGGTCCTGGAGTCAGGAGGACCTGAGTTAAAATCTGGCCTCAGGCACCTAACACCTACTAGCTTTGTGACCCTGGGCGAGTCACTTAACTCCAATTGCCTCACCGAAAAAAACAAACAAAAAACCAGCGAGACTTCTCTCAGATGCCCAAGATAAAACAATTTTTACAGGTTTCTCTCCTCTACTAACATGTTTATTTTGACCATAAATTAGTACTTTTGTTGTTCTGTGTGCTGTTTCATGTGCTGTGACTTGTACAATGAGCTTGTAATAGTCCTCTGGAAAAATATCCACACATTATACTTTGTTCCGTTCTTTGTCCATCATGCTAGGTAGTTGGCACCTAATAAATACTCAGTAAACTGAATTTTGCTATCACCATGAATCATGAAAGTAAATAGCAAAGATTTGTGATTTCACCAGTATGGGAACCTTTAACTAATTCAGATTTCTTAATGGTCGATCTTAAAGAACTGCCTGATGCTGAAAGGATGTTATGTGACCTACCCTGAGATACACTGCCAACACTACTAGGTCTTTCTTTGTGACTAGCACTCTAACCACTACATCACTCTCCCTCATTTGTAACCACAAGAAAAAAGCTTGAGTTCATTCAACAATGTATAAGGTACTACTCTAAATACAATGATACAAAGATGTGAAATACACAAGTCCTGCCCTCAAAATGCTACCTATAGAGCTGGAAGATTATCTGCTATCTCTCTGTACTAAAATCAAAGAACTGTTGAATTTTAGAGCTCCACTCCTCACACTGCTGATTTCTCCATGCCAATGTCACCAACCTCCCTGTATAAGAGAGGACTACTCTCCTGACTGTGAGTCCCTAATCCAGACCCCCATTTGATGAGGCACCTAGCCACGATCACTTTGCTCTGGGCTCCTGGTACACAGTGCCTAATAAGGAAAATGGAGCCTCAAAGAAATAATTGATGAATTAAACTCACATAGCTAGTGACTGCAGCGTTGAGACTAAAATTTGTACACTACACCTTAAAAAGGCACATAAATCTGAACTCTTTTGTTCAAAATAGTGAAAAACAATGCAAAGAGATTAAGTACACATTAAGTTCACAAAGTACAATAATTATTAACCCTATAACCTTGATCAAGACACTCTCTGAGCCTCAGTTTCCTCATCTGTAAAGTGGGCCCTTGCCTACCTTACAATATGTTCATAAGGCTCATATGAGATAAAGTGGAGGAAAACACTTGTAAGTATGTGGTTTCAGGCTCTACGCAAATAGTATCTTCATCATAAATGTAACTTTTTCCTTCTCTTTTTAATGGCAGCTGATGGTATAGTGGATAGAACACTGGGTCTGGAGTCAGGAAGACTTGAGTGCAAATCTGACATCAGACACTAACTAGCTGTGTGGCCCCAGGGAAGGCACTTAATCTCTGCCTGAATCAATTTCTACAATTGTAAAATGAGGATAATAACATCTATCTTGCAGGACTGTAGTAAGGATCAAATGAGATAATGTTTGTGCAAACATTCTCCTTCTATCTTTCATTTTTCTTGCAAAAATTAATCCTGTTGATATAAATTCAATTGACAAATACCAACATGAAGAAAAATTATTTCAAAATTTTGTTAAGCATTCAAAAACTTTAGGAAATACTTACTATGAAACGATGAAGTCCATAGTACAATAAAATATCTGCTACAGTAAAATTATTACCAGCAAAGTAGACTTTATCTTCAAGATATGAATTAAGATCCTAAAAGAGAAAAATTAACAAATTACAATGAGAGGAGCAGTCTGGCAACACAATGATGCACTCTTAATGACTTAGGAAGACCATGTTTTCTGAAATTCAACTCAACATCCGTTTTTGACATTAACAGAAAAAAAGTAGAAATTTGCAAACTATATGCTCACCACTCTTAGTTTCAACGAACTTAAAAAGAAATAGCCACTAGCAAATGCTTTTAATTTCCCCCTAACACATGAACAAAGTTTATTTTATAAATGAAGGCTCATTAGAAATAATTCAAAGAGACTGTCATGCCAATGCTATAGACACTGTTAGTAAATGACATGTTAGGATCCTCCAATAATGCTGACTGACTTGGTGTGAGGGAGGCATATACTTTTGTTCTGCTCCCTTCTGGACTTCCATGGCATATTGATCACTGTTAAATTGGCAACCATGGAAAAAGCTAAAGATCTTTTTATTTCTAGAACTCTTAAAACTCCCCATATTTTCCGAAGCTTAAAAGACTTCTCTGACAATGAAAAAGTTACATTATACCAAAAAGTTGTTCATATTTTTACATGGTGGGACAATATTCTCCCCAAGCAAAAGGCTCCCTTAGAGAAACCAAAGACTGTTTTGGTGAAAATTATGTTAGAAGGCAAAAACTTACATAGGCCTGAACCTAAATGCAATAATATTACATAGGCCAGAGTGAAGAAAAATCAATTTATTCCTTGGGAAGAAAAAAGGAGGTTAAAAAGTTATTCAAATTTTTTTTTTGAAAAATGCTTTTGTCTCTCCCACTAATTTATTTTAAAATGGTTTTACTAGGCATCAAAACTCCCAGTGTCACAGAACAGGAAGTGTAATGACAATATATTAATGTACTTTTTAGAAATGTTTTACATTTCTTGCAGTTAGGCTACAACACACTATACATCAGGACCTTCCCAAGGGTTTCTTACAGAGATTTCTTCAAGATTAAAGAAAACTACTGGGGTAGCTAGGTGGTGCAGTGGATAGAGCACTGGGCCTGGATTCAGGAGGACCTGAGTTCAAATCCAGCCTCAGACACATAATACTTCCTAGCTGTGGGACTCTGGGCAAGTCACTTAAACCCAGTTGCCTCACTAAAAAAAAAAAACTACAGAAGTCAATGGAAGAAAGTACTATGGACAGAATATCACAGTCAATAGCAATAAGACACTAAGATTCTACTCTAAGAATTTAGCTTGTCTCTATCTACTGTTGCATACTTCCTGAAAGAGGACGTGAGCAGGTAGAACTCTGTCTCATTGACTATGAGCTTGTCTACAGAGTTAAGCTCTTGACTCTGTTCAAAAGTATAAAGCTTTCAAAGGGTTCCAAAGTCTTGAAAACAAGACTGTTGGGAGTCAGAAAAGATCTGGCAAAGGAGGAATGATAAGTTTATATATACACGCAGGAGGGTTAGCAAAAACAAAAGAAAAATTGAGAGGACAGGAAAAGAATATTCTAAATGTCTTCAGGAAATTTCCTCAGTTAAGTTGTAGAATTGAGAGATCTCCTAAGGATGCACAGTTTTGATATATAAAAGAACTTTGTCTTGGTTTGTTTTTCTGGAGTAGCCATAAAATTAGTTAGGAAAAAAATAACAGCAGTAGTTATTGCTTTGAACAGTGTGTACTTTCTAAGCTGTGAAAAACATTGACATTATACCAAATAGCAAAATTGTTCTTTTTAGGAAAGCAAATGATTAAATAAAAATTTCCGGACAAATTATTTAAATGACATTTTCCATGTAAATGAGTGATAATATCTTCTGGCCTGAGAAGTAAGCAGGTTAGAAAGCCCTGACATAAAAAAAAGAATCTCCTTAGTGTCTATATCTTTTCTTTGTGTCATGACTTCTGGAAAACAGGACAATAAGTGTGAATGCCCTCAACAGCCACCTCATCCAACTCTCTCATTTTACAAAAGAGGAAATTAAGGCCCTTGCCAAGGATCATACAGGTATGTCTGAGGTGGGCTTTGTTTTTAGGTCTTCTAATGCCAGAGCTAGTACTCTTTGGAAAAGATTTTAGGTATCTTCCCAGAAAAGAAAAATAAATTCCACAAATTAAAAGATACATTTATACAATACCCTAATTAAATTTAAGATACTAAAATCAAAGTCTGCTTGTCTTTATGTTGCTGATTTCACTTTGTTCCTTTTGTTAACTTTGTGCCTGAACAAATTCTACATATTTTCAGATATGTAACAAATTACAAACTATTAACATTAATTATGGTTTCAGAAAGATAAGAAAGCTTTATGGTTTAAGGCATTTCTACATCTTCATGCGTGATTCCTCTACATATCTTTTATCTGAAATATCCCTTTGAAGTCTAGAATAGGAAATTATAAATATGAAGAGAAATGTTATTTTTAATGCTTTTCTCTTTTGGGTTATGAAATGTTTGTGCCCTTGATTTTGTCAAGATACTGACAGGACAGGGTTGGGGAAAGGCTCTGTTTGGTGGTAATCCACTATCAGATAGCACATTAAAAAAATCAGTAATAAAAGCTCTTTACAACATTTTACACAATAGAGGTAAGGCACGTAGGACCCTCTGAAGGTCAGTGAAGACCACAATATTTTATGAAAGATCTACAGTAATAGAAATTACCCACATTTCACTATAAGCCGACAACAGAGAAGACACATATGATATGATGTACTTTTTTCAGATATAAAAGATACTTCAAGATTGGTAGGGTATACGCTTTGGGTGATTTTTAAAGAAGTATTCAAATATCAAGCAGTAGTGATATCACCATTATCATCATAATATAACAATAATAATAGCTAGCATTTATATAGTGCCTAATATGTGCTAAGTGCCTTACGAATATTGTCTCCCAATAACCCTGCGAGGTAGATGCTATTATTAACCCCATCTTTCAGGTGAGGAACTGAAGCACACAGAGGCCAAGTGATTTATACTTGGTCACATAGCTGTTAAGTATCTGAGGTCAGGTCTTCCTGAGTAGAGGTCCAGGGCTCTATCCACTGCACCACCTAAGCTGCTTCTATTAGTAAGTGCAAAGCAGTCTATAAATTAAGATGTGTTAAGCCTGACACATTTATACCCCATTTGACTAATGAAAAGTTGGCTTTTAGGGTTATATACAGTATGCTGAAATATGGGCAGAGTACTAATAAAAAATAAGTTACACATGTATATCCAAGAATAGCACATCATCAGATGTAAGTGCAAAATATTTTGTATTTTATTTTCAAGGTATCAAAAGTCTGCTAACTGAACAAATTCATTATTTAAATGACATTTTCCATGTGAATGAGTGATAATATCTTCTGGCCTGGTGTATACAACAATTTTAAGTTTAGAATTATGCTTAAGTATTTTATAAGGCATTAAATTCAGAAAATGAGGACACATAACTACTGACTACAAAAAGATAAATTCCAATGTTAGTCTTTAGCCAGCATAACAGAAAATAAGCATAACCTGAGAGTGTGAGTATGTGTGTGTAAGAGAGTGTGTGTATGGGAGAGAGAATACATACAGATACGTTTTGACTCAACAATAAATACATTTCAGAAGTCTCCTAATCAAAAACCATCTCCATTTCTCACAATGCTTCTATTTAAATGCCTTACTACATAACATTTTATAAAATGAACAAAACATTTATGTTTAAAACACAATGGTTAGGATCTTGGTTCACTGATTTTGCCAATATATAAATAGGAACTAATTATAGGATTATTTCATAGTATTATCTGTTTCTAAGTAAGTAAAACCATGTTTAAAAATATGCATTTATTCTAATTGACAAAGAAATGATCGATACCTTCAATATACTTCGGATATCATCCTTATTGGAGTGTCCATCAATTTGAGTTACTTTGTATTCTAACCACTGCTGAACGAGCGCCTTCTCTTCTGCTGTGTTTCCCAGCAGGTGCTCTTTGTTGGCTTGCTTGACCAGATGAGCTACAATAGTAGCTAAGCCTGTTAAACTTGGCCCATTATTCATTTGAAGGACTGGAATCTGAAAGGAAAAATAAAAATCCTTCACATAAACTACAAGAAGTTATTATGACTAAATACTTAATTCCTCCTTTCAAGTATCCAGAAATCACTGTCAATTAAAGCTAATGACAGTGCTTTATATAATTTTCTTCTTTGAGCCTTACAAGAACTCTGCAGTACTGATTCTCTTACACATGAGGAACTGGAGGTACAGAGAGACTGGTTTAGTAACTTGCTTGTGGCTATAGGTATCTAAGGCAGGGTTGGAAGTCAGGTTTTTCTTGAAGCAAATTTTCCTCATAAATCGGGGGGGAAAAAACTGATAAAAAGCACAGAGAAACTAAGTCATTAACAGTTGGATAATGAAACTAAAACTCTAAATTTCAACTCAATTCCACAAATATTTAAGGGTCTCCAGTGTGCAAAGTACTGTCGTATTGCAGAAGTCAGGTATACAGAGTTAAATACAAAGCTTACTCTCAGAAAGCCCACAATCTAAAAGTGGGAAAAAGACCTGTACATAAATAAGCACAATACAGTAAAGTGTGATGAGTACAAATGAAAGGTCCAGGATGTGAAAAATTAGAGCTCACTTTAGTTAAAAGAGAGGAAGCTCAGGGAAGGCTTCATGGAGAAAGTAGCCCATAAGATGGACTTTAAACAGAGGGACTGAAACAGATGGAAATGGGAAGGTAGGCTGAGACAACAGTCTCAGATGACATGGGGATGGCATAAGCAAAAGCATAAAGATGAAAAAGCATAGGACAAGAACATAGAGAAGTGAAGTCAGATGGAACAGAGCTGGAAAGATAAATTGTAGTAGAATTGTAGTCTTGAAGGCAAGGATCAGAATTTTATTCAGAAGTCAATAGGGGAAAACTAGTAAAGGTTTTTGAGTTAAAGGAGTTACATGATTACTTAGGCAGAAACGTTTAGAATGTACTGGATGCAGGGAGATCACTTAGGAAGCCATTACAATAGTTTATGAAGGAAGAAATAAGGTCCTAAACTAGAGGGTTATAGTGAGAATTGAAGGACTGGCTGGGTGCAAATAGATACTATGAAGGTAGAATCCTTTATCTCTCTGCAGCCCTACATACTCTTGAATATTTCATGAAAGACCTTTCCACACTATTGCTTTAAGCCATGTGATTTCATCAGCTTGGAGGAACAAACCAGGGGAAGTAGACACAGACTTAGCAGTTAAATCCCAGGGAGCTGCTGATGCATACTGATGTGGAGTAATCAAATCATGGTTAATGCAGCTAGGGGTCTATAAAGGCAGATTTTGAACCCAGAACTTTCTGGTTCTAACTCCAACACACTACTCCTTTACCACATACTACTTCTATTTAATATTCTTATAATGTCACCTAATTATACAGAATGTAGATACCTAATAGACCATAAACTCCTTGAGGGCAGGGACTATTTTGTCTTTGTATCCCCAGTGCCTAGCACAGTTTCCTGGCACAGACTATTCTAAAAAATGAACTCTGCGTCATGGAACAGGGTTGGGCACTCATTGGGGGTACAAAGACATCAAGTATATATAGGGAGAAAGGATAATAAATGTAGAAAAGTTGGGTTTAATTCCTACACAAATTACTTAACCCTTTCCAGATCTGTTTTGTATCTATACTATGACGGTTTTAGACTACGTGACCATTGAGATCCTCAGCTTTCAATCTATAATCCCAAGATTCCCATCACTCACTTTGTACATTATTAAAAAAAAAAAGTTCCAGAGAAATGAAATAACTCAACTAAGATCAGCAAGCTAGTTAACTGGCAGATCCGAGACTAGAACCTAGATCTCAGGATGCCATTTTTTTTTCTTATTTAATATTTTATTTTTCCTGATTACATGTAAAACAACTTTTAACATTTTTTTTCAAGTTTTGAGTTCCAAATTCCCTCCTTTCCCTCTTCCCATTGAGAAGGCAAGCAATTTGTCATAGGTTATACATGTGTAGTCATGCAAAATACATTTCCATGTAAGACATTCGGTGAAAGAAAACACAAACAAAAAACCCTAAAAAAAAGAAAGTAAAGAAAAAGTAGCTTTGATCTGCATTCAGGCTCTATCAGTTCTTTCTCTGGAGGTAGATGAAACCTTTTGTCCTAAGTACTACAGAACTGTCTTGTATCGTTGTATCATTGAGAATAGCTGTTATTCATAGATCATACAATATTGTTGTTACTGCATATGATGTTCTCCTAGTTTTGCTATTTCTTTCCATGTTTTTCTGAGAGCATCCTGCTCATCATTTCTTAAAGCACAATAATATTACATTACAATCACATCAGTCATTCCCCAATTTATGGACACCCCCTCTGTTGCCAATTCTTTGCCACCACTAAAAGAGCTGCTATAAATATTTCTGTACATGTAGGTCCTTTTCCTTTTTTATGTCTTTGGGATACAAACTTAGTAGTGGTATTGCTAAATCAAAGGGTATGCACAGTTTTATAGCCCTTTGGACCTTGTTCCAAATTGTCCCCCGGAATAGTTGAATCAGCATGCAACTTTACCAACAGTACATTAGTGTTTTAATTTCCCCACATCCCCTCCAACATTTGTCATTTTTCTTTTCTGTCATACTAGCCAATCCGACAGGCGTGAGATAGTACCTCAGAGTTGTTTTAATTTGCATTTCTCTCATCAATAGCGATTTAGAGCATTTTTTATATGACTATAGATAGGTTTGATTACTTTATCTGAAAACTGCCTGTTCGTACCCTTTGAACATTTAAGGATAAAATCTTTTTTAAGCTCACTGCTAAAAAACAACCCCCCCCAAACCCCACAGGATCCCCATATCACATAAGCATAGTGAAAGAAAACATTCCCACATTGGTTACATCTAAAAACTCATTATCACTTCTGTCAGGAGGTGGGCAGTGTTCTTTATCAATCCTTCTGAATCATGAATCCAAAACGTTTATTTGATCAGAGTTCTTAAGTCTTTCAAAATTGTCCTCTTTTGTAGTACTGGTGTTATATAGTACAAACTGCTCCCCTAGCTCTACTCACTTCACTGCATCAGTTCATAAGTCTATGTGGGTCTTTCATATTGTTTTCCTCCTTTCTGACAGCACTATTTGGATTCCATTACATTCACATACACACTTTGTTCAGCCATTCCCCAAGTAACTGGGCTACCCCGTTTCCACTTTTTTGCCACCACAAAGCTACTATAAATGCCGTGTACGAATTAGTCCATTCACCTTAGTCGTTAGTACATTGCTTTTTAATAAAGCATGCTTTGAGCAACTCTAACAACATTGTGCAGACGAAAATTAGAGGGTCCAATACCTTCCCTCCACGTTGTAAAAGAGGATTCCCTCTCCCCTGCTGGAATTCCGTCTCAGATATTTACTTAGCTGTGTGACCCTGGTCAAGTCACTCAACCCATCTCGGACTCATTGTCCTCATCTACAAAATGGGTATAACAGCACCCTACCTTACAAGGGTTCGTCGTGAGGATCAAATGAGATTCTGTATATATTTCGCTTTTAAAACTTAGAGCTTTATTTAAAAAAATGCTATTACTATAATTACGGCAAGCTTAGGGCCCACTTCCATTTAACCGGGGGAGGGAATCAATTTCATCTTTTTATTTTTCTCCAAAAGGAAGGAAACGTCTCATATGAAATAGCAAATAAAAGATGGGGGGGTGATTTTCAGCCATAAATAAAGGCTTAAAAACTTGTCTGCATTCAAACAAAATTCACGGATGAGGTAGGCACCCCTCCCCCGTTCAATTTCATCTTCCCAGGCTCCGGGGAACACGAGTTTCCAGCGGCAGCTGCAGGTCAGTGACCCCCACCCCACCCAGGTTGGGGTGGGGGGCTAGACGAAGGAGCGGGAGGGAAGGAAGGGGAGGGAACACGCGCCGCTCCCCCCCCACACACGTGGGGACCCCCGGCTCACGCAATCCAGGAAGCAGCACGCTCCCGGGCGCACCTCGCGCCCTCCCATCCCTTCGTCAGAACCGGCCACGCGCTCACGCCACTTCTTCCCCCTCGTGCCTCCTCACCTGGCGCTCTCCTTGAGCGCTGTATTTGTTCCCTTTCCTCAAGCCCAACAACTTCTCCAGCAACGTCAGGTCCTCCGCCGCCGCCATCTTCGTGGTCTTAACCGAGGAAGAAGAAGCGGGGCACGGAAAACGACGAAATTCCGTATTGGAGGTGACGTAAGGCACGCCGCCCCAGCGCCCTCAGCCATTGGCTGGGCGGAGGGGGGCGTGTGGGACGTGCCTTCGCGGAGGAGGCGGAGCGAAGGGCCGGGACGGGGCCGAGGTACCGGCCACGTGGGTTTTATCTTGGGCTTCTTCCGGGGCTTTCCTCTGAAGTGAAGCGACTGTAGCGGAGGCGCTGGCGCGCTGGTTTAGGGAGGCGTTGCGGTGGCACCAGGGTGTGGGAAGACCAGATAGCAGCGCTCTCCGATAGGTGATCCCCGCACGAAGGGTGGCCCCACGAGAAATCTCCCAGGAGCTTTGAACACATGAGGGTCCAAATCATCAGGCGGGCTGTGGACCCCGGAACATGAGGCCTGAGAATGATTCCATTGCGAATTATTCCCTTATGGCTCCCAGGGTGGCTCTTAAGTCATATTCCTTCCCTCTTTGGCCTGTTTCCTCTTGTGGCCATCTCCAGCCTCCAAGCCTTGGCACTGTACCTCTGCCTGTTAGGACTTAGCTTCCTTAAGGGCCCAGCTCAGGTGCCGCCTTTGACACTTGCCTTTCTTGATGCCTCTAGTTTTTAAGTGCTCTTTCTCCCTTTTGAAATAATTTTGTATATGTCGTGTATTTATTTGTGTATGAGTTTCATAGGGGACAAGGCCTATTTGTATTTAACTTTGTACTCTCCCTTTTGTCACTGTTTTATGCGTAGTAGACAAGTTAGGTCAACAAGCATTTATTAAGTGCATCAGGCACTTTGCTAAGCCCTTTACAAATATTATCTCACTTGATTCTCACAAGGACCCAGTGAGGTAGTTTATTATCCTCATTTTGCAGTTGAGGAAACAGGCAAACAGGATAAGTGATTTGCCTATAGTAATGGCCGCTAAGTCTGTGAAGCCATATTTGAATTCAGGTCTTTCTAACTCCAGGCCCAAAGCTCTATCCACTGTACCACCTAACTGCCCCTGCTGTTAATGTGCTTGCATTCTAACGGATAAGACAACATATAAGTAATTAGGTACTGCTAACAACAACAACAAAAAATCACAAGTCCATGGTTGTAACTGGATTTATTACAAGAGAAATGAACGTGCATGTGGAACTCCAAGTGCAAGGAATTCACAATCCAAACAAAAGCTTGCACATGTATGAAATTGCAACAAGGGAGGAGGAGTGGCAGAGCCAATAAAAGGTCAGAGTGAGACATTTTTCCAGCCTAGGAAAACTTAAGAGGTCACTAAGAGAGCTCTGTAGGGTGGAGGCCTATTGGGAATGCCTATATGTGGCTACAGCAGCAGGAGCAGCAGTACCTGCTACTTTGGGAGCTCTCAGCCTAGAGACAGTAAGGAGGTTGCACAAAAAATAGTCAGAAAGACATTACAGGGACCCATTGCTGGTACTGGGTATAGCTAGCACTGATTGGCAACTCTATTACCCATACTTGGTTCTGGGCTACAGTTCCAGGGCAGAGAGGCATGCTAGTACTTGTGGATGCAGGGGAGCAGGGGCCCTTCCTGGGTAAAGAACAGAGCTCAGATCATACCACTTTGGAAGCACTGAAAACTTTCAGACTCACAAGAACTAACTCCAGCATCATGAAAAAGCCTGAAGCCTAAGGAAGTGCCTCCCCACCCTCAGATGAGGAGAGACCAACCTTAACATAAAGTTCAAAGTAAAAAAAATAGGCTAGAAAAATAAACAAACAACAAAAAAAGAACTTGACCATGAAAAGCTACTACTGTGGCAGGGAAGACCAAGACACAAACTCAGAAGAAGACAATAACACAAAAATAGCTACAACCAAAGCCTCAAAGGAAAATGCTAATTGGACACAAGCCCAACAAAAATTCCTAGAAGAATTAAAGAAAGAGGTAAGAGTAGTAGAGGAAAAATTGGGAAAAGAAATGAGAATAATGCAAGAAAATTATGAAAAGAGAATTAACAGCTTGGTAATAGAGGCACCAAAAAAATGAAAAAAAGGGAGAATGGATTGGGAGTTGATAGATAACTACCACCAGGATCTAGAAAGAATGATATATGTGGGTAGTGTGAAACTTGAAGGTGGAGAGGTTGTTGAGTGATGGTGGCAGAGTCAGAGTCTGGAAGTAACAATGGGGAATAACAAGTATGACTATTTTTTCCTGGTCCCATGTTTGGGGGGGAGAGGTGATGAGACAATGTGTATCCAGGACTAAAGAAGGTTTCCAAGGATGCAGTATCTTCTAGAGGGAACTGAGTATGGGTATTAGAAGATGAAAACAGTAGACAAGGATAAGTTCTAAGATGAGGGCAGTTTTGTTAACAGTAGGGTTCCAGAGGGCAGAGTTAGGTGGGGACTTGAGTGAGGTATGACTGAGATAGATGGGGATGAAAAAATGGGGAGGGGAGTAAGAGAAAAATGGTTTTTCACTTCCTGTGGTACATTTTTGTGTTGTAGTTCTTCTAACACCTCATCTGTTCGCCACACCGCTCAATCTTGCTTGTCCTGCTCTGTGATATAACTATAGCCTTGCATTTTTTTGTATGTAAAAGCCGGTCTTATAAATAGTAATTTTTAAACTACTCATTAGCTGAATAATATTTAATAATATGCTAGAAGATACAGAGTGAAGGAGATCTCTCATTGGGAGTGAGATAATTCAGCTTAACAGAGAGAAAAAGAGAGAGAGAGTGTGTGTTCTAGATCTACCCAAGGGGTAATACCTCACAGTCTTAATGTAGCAAGCTAGGAATAGGGATATGTTGGAGACTGCTGGCTTTTCTCATGTTGGCTTCTTCCCAAAGTCTTTTCCTTCAGCAACCTGAAGTGGAGTTCCATCTTCTCTCTCAAAACTGGAAACCAGAAGTTTCTGAGAGTGTTGAAACCTGAAAAGACCCAAGAACTGAAGAGACTGGAAGAAACTCAAAGCAGGACCAAAGACTTGAAGAGACTTTTTTCTCTCACCAATTTCGCCTTCCCCTCATGCAAGTGCATTGATATGTGCCAGTTAGGAGAGAGTCACATACCACAATGGGCTATGGGACTCAAGTTACATAGAGATAAAAATTATTGTAGCACTTTTTCATAAGGTGGTCATGAGGTTCAGATGAAATAATATATATGTGTAAAACCCACAATCTAGTGAATAGGGAGCTTCTTTCTACCAAGTGGCCCCATCTCTGAGCTCATGTGAACCAGGTGTGGGGGTGATAATTGCCCAATCTGCAAGAAAAACCACTGAGGCAGAGCTCTGACACAATGGCACTTTATCAAAGGGTCCATGGTCCTCTAATGAAGTGGACCTCAGATCTTCCTCACAAACTGAGACACCTCCTTCCAGGGCCTTATTTTTATGAGGCTTGATACCAGATTTGATTCTTGAACATTTAGAACGCTATACAAAGTGCAGAATCCCATTGGTTGATAGACCTTGCTTCTTGGCCAAAAATGATGCATCAGTTAGAAATGGTATGTCAGCAGAGTGGGGTCTCAGGTTGGGTGAAACAAGGGGCATTTCCACTGATTAAATGGTCGTAAGAGGGTCACCTGCTTATGTTGGACAAGAGAGAGTGTTCTGGAGGCATAAAAATAAGTTGGGGGATTTTCCATGTAATTGAGTGCCATGCTGGGCTTGGTCACCATAACAAGGAAAAACAAGGGTGGAGGGCCTCTTGTTAGCTTCCTATGATTAAGAGAACTTACAATCTGCAGTTCACAGCTCTGGGGCCTAATATGCAGAACTTATAATCACTATCCCTATGGATTCATATCAAACTGGTTAATACTGATTGAAGTAGAGTAGGGGTCCAAATGAATAATTTCTCACAGAGGTTCAGTTCTGGGGCAGCCTAACCTTTAAAATACAAGATCAGATTTGGGTTTTTGTTTCTGGCTTATTATGTCCCTACCTCAGAGCCCTGAGAACAGTCTTTTAAATAAAACTTAGGTTTGGCTCATATCTGGGGACCCCCAGAAAGGGATTATCAGGGTTAATCACCTAAACAAGCACATGCTTTTCTTAACCACATTTGAGCAGTCCTCAAAGCTGTTGAGGAAGTTAATATCTCTCAGTGAAAGTATGAGGGAAATCTTGAGTGGGTGGACCTTTTGGCTCAGTGATTAATCATAGTGTTCAATGATCAGGACCATGGGAAAGAACCATGGGAAAGATTTGCACTGTGTATACTCTTTAGTAAGGGGTGTGAGCCCTGGAAGGGATCAGAGCACATTTTTCCACTTGTAGGAAGTATTTTATCTAGAATGTGTCACTTGGAGTGGTCAGGGTTCAGGCTCAGCTCCACACATGATGCTCCATGTTCCCATGCATGCTCCATGGTGTGTGCTGAAATCATCCCTACTACATAAAACATTTTGCAAAACAAAGAGTTTTATAAAATGTTTTTTATTTCTACTGTACTAAACTATCTCCAATTGCTATAATCTTGAGAAATTGGGAGAAAAGCTATTTGTAAATGATGTTGGTATCAATTGATATTATTATTAACTGAAATTATATTGTGTTATTGCTGTTTGGTTTTTTTGGTAATTTAGAGAAGCCAACTTGTCACATCAACTTTCATAGCAGAAGAATTAGGAAATCCAAGTAGCAATTTAAACAGCACCCAAGCAATTGGCTTAAGTATTTCTGATTGCAAAGTTTTTCATATTTAGTTTTTGTTATACACAGTTCTTTGTAATTCCAGTAGATGGTATACTTGAATCAAGCTGGTGCTAAAATTTGATATTTAAAATGAACATAGGCTCCATTTTCTTTTCAAGCCCAAGAGATTGTGAAGCCTATGTTTTCTTCTTTCCTTCTGCCTTCAGTCATGATTAGGACTAATGGCAACTTTAGAACCTCTGTCAAAAGGGAAATAAAGTGCATGTATGTTTATAGTGTAAAGAATTAAAAACTAGGAGTTGGGATGCTTGAGTTCTATTTCCAGGTCTGTCACTAATCACGTGTGAATTTAGACAAGTCTTTTAATGTCTTTGAGTTTCAGTTTTTCCATTTACAAAATCAGG